AGGTGGTTGAATCTATGGACAAGGAATCCCTGTGGACACGGAGAGCCCAGTATACCTGCCATCTGTTACTTTAAAAGTTCTTTGCCTCTGTTAGGGAGATAACCTGGAACCAAACATTGTGAAATCTTGTATTTCTTTAGAACTCCACTTAAACAACATCTCTATACTACCTTTACTGATTTCATCCTGACTGTTCCCTCACGCAGTAGCTTGTGTAGAACTGATTCTATTTTTTGTGCTCCTCTGTTCACACCATTACCATGCTAGTAATGTATGTGTTGGGCTGTAGCAAACCCCAAGAAGTTAGGAAGTTTCTTGGTTATCACACCCAACACCTAATATATACTTGGTGTCCAGTAAATGTTTGAGGGAAAGGCACCTTAAGGATAGGGAGAGCAAATTGTGTAGGTCAGAAAGTTAGTTCCTGTCTTTAATATCATTCTAGGATTGCTGCCGGAAAAGAGAAAATGAGATCAGCAGGCACTGTTGAGAAACCAAGTTCATGTTTTGTACTGTAGTCTTTCAGATAATGTTTAAGGTAGATTGTAGATAGGCAAGACCCACTGGTCAGTTTGAAGAGAGGAATTATTGCATAAGACAAATCTGTAAAGTAGCCTTTTTTTCCTTATAGCTAACTTCTGAAGATACTGAAAATTACTACAAATTAAAGGTTTTAAACAATGCCCCAAATGATTAAAATGGCAATCCTATGAGTGGCCTTTTAATATAATGTGAAGCAGAATTTAAATATTTCTAATGCTTAATTGGTAACCTAGTCTAGTTAGCAGAGAATCATTGTGTTTTCAAGATTTTGTGCTTCTCCTGCTGACAATATAACATTGAGAAATCAGAAATGCTGAATCATGAAGACCCCCCCCCATTTTAACTTGTATTCTTTATGTTGCAGGAGTGTGTCAGTCAATCCTGTAAAACCACTTGAGATTAGACAATGTATTTATAGAACTGTAGCTGTGGTTTATGACAAGTATGTTAAAAAGGAGCAAATTTCCCTTGTATACAACCCTGAGAATTGCTTCACTTAGTTTGTATTTCTTATCTGTAAATCGTAGATATTATCTATTGTATTGGTTGGTGAAAATTAAATGACAGAACATGACAAATGCTTACTTGGCACATTGCTTGGCTTATTATAGATACACTGTTAGCTTGTACTGGAATTAAAATAGGAGGAAGAGATGTGTGCCAGGTCACAGTAAATCATTTTACACTATTGCCTTTATGCTCTGTTTAGGCTGAGAATAGGCATATGGGAAGAGTTTCAGGAGGGAGGTCATGGTATAGTGGAAGTGGACATTTAAAAGGTCATGTTGCAGATTGCCTACTTGTGACAATTTGTGATTACAGTATATGGAAGATAGTGGTAGTAAACGACCTTACGTACAGTGTGATTGACTAACATGAATACAGGGCAAGCAAAATCAGAGTAAAACATTAAGTACAAAGGCTCACAAAACCTCTGAATTATCTACTTAGTATTTGGTAATGAGCATTTTCTTTCAGTGCTTTTCATTTTAACCTATAACAGCATTCGGAGTCAAATTCTTGCATTGATCTGTGGGTTTGCTTCATTTGCCTAGGTTTTAGTATCCCCATTATGAATAGGTCTTTCCCTCTGTCCTGCCCCCATAGTGCGTATCTTACTTCTGTAGAGAAGTAGGACACTGATATTTTGCACTTACTCAGAAAAACAAAAACAACATTCAAGTCTTTCGGTAATTTGTAGTTTGTTAATGCTAAAATGATCAATAATTGCCTCTCAATACCTGGGAGAAGACAGAGGCAGGCAGGCAGATTTCTGTGAGATTGCTGCCGACCTGCCTATAGCACATTCCAGGTCAGCCCAGGTGATATAGTGAGACCATGTGTAGCTCAAATTCCTTCTGGGAGATGTGAATGACATCTGCTGCCCTCCTCCCTTGTTCCCTATGACAAACTGAGGTACAATTTCACCAAACTACAGTCTGGGAAACCAGTGAGTTTATTTGGCTTACTTATAGAGCAGTAAGTAAGAGTTTCAAGAGTGTGGGTGCTCCCCTCCTAAGGCCGCACTGGAAAGTCTCCATCCAGGCATAGATTGTGACTTCCCCACAGCCACAAAATAGGGAGAGAGCCTCCCTGCAGCTTTTCGATTTATATACTGTTAGCGCCCCCCATCACTTTTGCTTATTAGTCAGTTTTCTGCTTATTTGCTGAATTGTGAACATCAAAGTGGAAAAATAAGCCAAATTTGTAAGGCTAATAAAACTACATTAAACTAATTCATAATGTCCATTTGTCTTTTACGAAGTTGAGATATATTTGTAGCAAACCTGTGAGTACAGGTTGGACATGCTTGCCTCTAATCCAAGTACATATCTCTACTTCTAATTTTGGTACTTGAAAACTCTCCATTGTGTTCATATTACACTAAGCTAGCCGAAGGACAAAAGTTCAAAAGATCACTTAACAAACCATTTGCTCAAACTAAAGAAGTGTCCACAAGTTATGTATCCATGTTAACTTGGGAAATGGCCTCAGTAAAGAGCCTCTAATATTTCTTTTTTGAAGGAGTATTCATCTTACAACACCATTAGTATGTATTTCTGTATTATAAGGGAAGTATCCTATTAAAAAACCTGGAAAGAAACTTTTCTACAACACAATTATTCCGATTTTCCCAACCCATAAGCATCTTCTTTTCAATCTCTTTCATTGCTTAATGTCTAAATATATTGGTTCTGAGGCACACACTAATGATAGCTTATGATGATGCTGCCTTAGGTGCAGTATACCAAATTAAGAGAAAATTTCTTTCAGCAAACCCTTCAGATGCTATTAAGCTTTTTGTATCGTCACATGTAAACAGGTTGGTTATTGTGTTGCACTTTACATATAATTCCTATTCAATTTCTTTTTTCCCTTTAACATTAGAATTGTTTGGGAGAGGAGAGACCATTTACACCTTTCTCCTCAGCCATTCCAGAGAGTTTTTGCTTTTGCTTTTTTCCTATCCTAGGTCAGGTACTAGCAAACTACTGCAAACAGACATCACTGCTTCTTTTAAATAGCCTGTGTGACAAGCTTGCGTTTTTATAATCTTAAATAGCTGAAATAAAAATACAGTAGTATCTGTGATATATGAAAAGCCTATGAAATTTAAATTTCAATTCTCAGATTTTGGCTAAGATCAAGAGAAATTTAAATTCATGTCCATGTTTATTAGAACACAGCCAGTCTGTGGCTTATCTGCCACAAGGGCCAAATATTGCAGAAGGAGCCCATATCCCTTAATAAAAAAATCTTTGCTGATTCTTGTCCTAGCTAATTGCATGTGGAGCTATCCCTTCTTATCTCCCGACAAGAGCTTATAGTTACATAATTGTGAGAAGTAATTCTCTGGCTTGTTCTTATAAACATGAAAGTTTTATTTGAACTTAATGATACAGTCCAGAGACCACTTTGGATTTCTCAATTGGGAGTTATATGATCAGGCCTGGGCTGTTCACTTCTCAAATACTATTTTTATGAATCCTATTTTTAGATAGCCCAAGTAATACTATATTGCCAATTATAAGAATACATTTGTAATTGGTTTATTTAGCCTAGCTCTTTAATTTCAAAAGCCTAATTTAAGCTTTCTTTGTGGTGTGTGGCTGCTTTTGTTACCTTTTTTTTTTTTTTTTTTTAAATATGGGAGAACCGGGAAGGGGGTCTAGGGAGATGGCTTGGTGGGCAAAGTGCTGAGTTTGGATACCTAGCACCCACACAAAAGCTGGGCATTTGTAACCCTGGAGGCGGGTGGTGGGGACAGGTAGATTCCTGGGGCTGGCTGGTTAGCCAGTCTAGCCAACTGGTGAACTCCAGGTTTGGTGAAAGTCTCTGCCTCAAAAACAGGCTTAAAGATACAAGGTGTGGACCTCTGGCCTCTACATGCATGCACACAGAAAATAATCTGTATTAGGCAGTGAAATACAGTGATTAAGTGTATTAAGACTTGAGACAGGGTCTGTGTAACCACACTGGCCTCAAACATAAAATCCTGATCTCCCTTCTAAGTGTTGGCATTACAGGCAGGATTTATCACCACACTCTGCATGTGTTAGATCTGTTAAAAACAGATCAAGCTGGGCATGGTGGTACATGCCTTTAATCCCAGCACTCAGGCAGAGGCAAGTGGATCTCTGTTAGTTTGAGGCCAGCCTAATCTACAAGGTGAGTTCCAGGCCAGCAGCTGGGGCTATAGGGAGACCCTGTCTCAAAAAGACAACAACAACAACAACAAAAAACCCAGGTCAAAATGCCACTAGATTTCTGCCAGATCCAAAAGGAAAGACTATATAGGACAAAGACAGTCACCCAGCTTCAAGGTTTTGAAATGCTTCACCTTTAGAATTTTCACAAGTACTGCCACCTGGATTTCATTGGAATTGGTTAAGTACCTTGCTGTACTGGCCGTGTAGTTCCTCAAACCAGAACTTGTAAGAGTGAATGGGGTTAGTAGGGACGGCATGGTGGGATACACCTTTGATCCCAGCACTTGGGAGGCAGAGGGTGTGTATCTCTGTGACATTCAGGCCAGCCTGGTCTACATAGCGAGTTCTGGGCCAGTTGGGGCCTCAGGGAGACCCTGTCAGCACTAAGTTCCTGAGATCCCAGGACAAGAAGGCATTAACTGAGAGAACCAGAATGTAAGTTCTTAAATATTAGGAATAGGTAGTACATCATCATAAATAGTAAGTAGAGCTAAAAGGGAACCCAACCTACATAAAAATCTATCAAACTCGGATTCTGAGTTGTGAACATGAACTGGCATCCCTAATTATTTCAGTAACAGTTTTTTCCTTCACAATTTAGAAGCATCAATTACCATTTACTTTGGTTATACTAGAGTTACAATACAGTAAGCTTCTATCAAGTTATGCAGACTAATGGCTTCATGTTTACGTTCTTTAAATATTGGCCACATACTTATAACAAGTCATTCAAGAGACGTGGAAAAATGAGGTCAAAATCAAACTTTATTTATATAGGGAAAATGATAGTAACTCAGATATTGACTAATTCAGTTTTGGGTTGGCTAGAAGTTCGTGATTTACCAATCCTGTTCTGTAAAAGTAGTAAAGATTACACTGATAATTTTCCCTCGGTTTGCTGGTATTCTTGAAGCTTGCAAATATTCAGAACACTTTATAACTTGCTGAACAGCAACAGAAATGAGATGGTATACTTGGAAGTCAGTCTCTCACAAAAAAGACGTTATATCCAAGTTCTGTTAAAGCCCCAACCAGTAAAGCCCATAAAGGAATGAAGACATAGGAAAGATTCATGGTAGTAAACTGTTCCAGTTTAGCACACAGTGCGAGGCAGAAGGCTAACTTAAGTAGCATTGCAATGAGGTACCAGGCTTTTTTTTTAATATTGTGTGATCCATGTCGAGGGTCAAAGCCAGACTTACATCGGCCAGCCATCTTCACAATGAGTATGACGAGAAGGATAGTGTCAAATATCCAGACTGGAATAAATATGAGGAACCAGTTCCAAGGGGCCTTCTCATCCAGTTTCAACACCAACATGATCAAGAAGAGTAATGTGAAAAGCCAGGTGAGTAGCACTCTCTGAGCCAAGGACATTCTCATTTAAACAGTTTAAAGGGGCTGGTGCAGGGCTGAAATAAGGGAAATATACCCTAGAGAAGGAAAAAAAAGTCAAGATTTGATAGGAGAAATCACTTCCATTCCTAAAGTTAGCTCCTTCCCACTCCACAGACTTTCTAATTTTGAAAACATTCTACCATTCTTCCTTTCAAAACCTCTAAAACTTGTAGCAACTATTAACACAGCCACCACACACCATCCACACACTCATACATGTTTTATACTTATTTTAAATTATGAGGAACCTGACATGAGTGCTGGGAACCAAACTTGCATCCTCTGCAAGAGCAGTATGTACTCTTAACTCCTGAGCCATTGCTCAGTCATGGTCACTATTTCTTATAATCATGACTAAAGCACTAAAAATTTTAATATACACACCAAGTATAAGCTTTATTCAAAATGTCTCATGAGCAGTCAGTTCCTTTACAGTGCTATACAACTCAAGTTCAGGCACTCAGGACTTCATCTCCATACTTAAGGGATGCTCTTAAGCTCTGCACACTTGCAAATCTATTGTTTTTCATATATTATTTCAAGAGGTGCTAAAATAACGTATCTGAAATCAAAGCAGTGAAACAGAAGGTGATAGTTTCGAGAGTTTGTAAGGATGGAATGGTTAGTAAAAAACAGAACATCAGGACTGTAAAGATGCCATTGGACTAAATAATAGAGAAAGTCTGGATAACTGGATTTTCATATAATCTTTGTATTTTACATTTTTAAATTTCCAACTATTCCTAACGTAGATTGGTTAGAAACAAGTATTTTGTAATTGTTTTATGCTGAGTTATGCTATGATAAGGGGCTAATTTTTTTTTTTTTTTTAGACAGAGTCTCACTTTGTAGCACTGGCTGGCCTTGAAATCACAGAGATCCACCTGCCTCTGTCTCCTGAATGCTGGGATTAAGGCATGCACCACCATATGCAGCTGGGGATAACATAAACAAGTATTTTTAAAAATATTTTATTATTTATTATTTTTATGAGTGTATTGCCTGCATGTATGTGAGTGCACCCGTGTCGTGCAATGCCGTGGAGGTCAGAAGAGGGCTTCGGATTCCCCTGGAACTGGAGTTAAGGATGGTTTGTAACCACAATGTGGGTGCTAGGAATCGAACCCGGGTCCTCTGCAAAAGCAATCAGTGCTCTTAACTGCTGAGCCATCTCTCCAGCCCCAAGTATTTATTTTTAACTATGTGTATATGTGCGTGTCTGTCTGTAGGTATGTGCACTTGAGTTGCAACTTGCAGAGTACAGAAGACTGTCAGAAAACCTGCTGCTGGAGTTACAGGTGGATGTGAGCCTTCCTTTATGGGTGCTGGGAACCAATTCAGGTCCCCTGCAAGAGCAGTATGTACCCAACCCACTTCTTCAGCCCCAGGGCTAATTTTCATTTCACTATTCTGTCTCGACAATCTCTATTTCTCAAATAAAAATTTTATTTTTTTATTTGTGTATGTGTGCACGCACACATGTTCATGTCCAAGATCAGAAGAGGGCATCAGATCCCCTGCGACTGGAGTTACAGGTGGTTGTGAGTCACCTGATGTGGGTGCTGGGAACTGAGCAGCAAGTGCTCTTACCTGCTGAGCCATCTCTCCAGCTCCCAAGGTCTATATTTCTGTTTGCACTCAAACTATATACGACTGTTACTTTAGAGTATGTTCTAACACCTGGAAGGATTAGTATTCTAGAATATTTTGTATTTACCTTTTATTTTGTTTTCAATGCTAATACACTAAGTTAATTCTTAAAAAACTTCCTTTCGTTTTTATATTATGTGTATGAGTGTTTCGCCTGCATGTATTTAGTGCACCAGTGTGTACAATGCACATGGAGGCCAGAAGAGGGTGACCACCCCTGGGGAACTGGAGTTAGGGATGGTTGTTAGCTACTATGTTGGTGCTGAGAACTGAACCTGGGTCCTCTGGAAGAGCAGACAAAACGCTTAACAGTCTCTCTAGCCCCTAAACTTCCATTAATTTTTTTTTTTTTACTTATTTTTTATTTTATGTGAGTGTTTTGCCTCCAAGTATGTAAGTACAGCTGTGTCATGCAATGCCTGTGGAGGTCAGAAGATGCTGTCGGACCCCCTGGAATTGGAGTTAAGGATGGTTGCTAGCTGCCATGTGGGTGCTAGGACCAAACCCAGGTCCTCTACAAAAGCAGCCAATGCTCTTTACCACTGAGCCATCTCTCCAGCTCCACAAACTTCCATTTTTGATTGGGCAAGCATTAACATAACTTAGCTTAAGCCATAAATACGTATTCTATTCTAATTAATCCTCACATATAGACTTACAGTAAGTTGTTTTTTTTTTTTTACACACCAACCTTGTAACCATTACAACTAAGGGTAGGTAGGTACAATGGGAAATCAGAAGCCTGACTATATGCAGGTAAGTAAGGAGCTAACAGAAAACAAGGAAATGGAAACAGCTGAGAGACACTTTATTGTTTTGAGCCGTGTTTGAGAAAGGAGTAAGAAACAGTTCTCTCCTACCGTATCCTGGGAATTGAACTCAGGTCATCAGACTTGGCAGCAAGTTCCTTTTACCTGCTGAGCCATCTTGCTGGCCCAAGAAGAAAAATTTAGGAAAGGAGAGTCTGATAAGGCTAAGGGAAAAATAAGCTACTGGGAAATGACACTGAAGATGAGCACAGATGTGATGGGAAGGCAAAGATCAGAGAATGTAGAGGTAAGAACAAAACCATGGTGACACATAAGATGCAGGAATAAAAACAAGGAAAAGCCAAAGAAAATGGCTAGATGGCTAGAGTAGTATGCTTAATTTATATTTTAGAACTACTTTGATGTACTCTGCACTTCTCCAAGTAGGATGACAGTCATGGTACAAAAGTACATATGTGTTGTATTTCAATAGTTAGGTGTGAGTGTCCAAACAGCTTTCTCTTCTACTCGCATTTGTTTACTTAGTTCGAAAACGCTTGGGACTGCAGTACTTTGCTCTTCAGAAGCCATTTTTTGGTTTTTTTGAGACATGGTCTCACTACGTAGCCCTGGCCCGTCTGAAACTTTGCTATACATAGACCAGATTAGCCTTCAACTCACAGAGCTCCTCCTGTTTCTGTCCGGACGGAAGATCCGGTCTCAAAAAGACCAAAAAAAAAAAAAAAAGAAAGAAAGAAAAGGTTTATGATAATACACTTCCTTACAACATACTTTTTCATCATTCTGGTGGCACGTGCCTTTAATCCCAGCACTCAGGTAGAGGAAGGCACAACTCTTTGAGTTAGAGGCAGTCTGATCTGCATAGTGAGTTTCAAGCCAGCCAGACCTACATAGTGAAAACCTATCTCAAAACAAACAAAGCCCCATAGCTTTTCTATCTGCCACAGGAAGTACACTTCCTTACAACATACTTTTTCATCATTCTGGTGGCACGTGCCTTTAATCCCAGCACTCAGGTAGAGGAAGGCACAACTCTTTGAGTTAGAGGCAGTCTGATCTGCATAGTGAGTTTCAAGCCAGCCAGACCTACATAGTGAAAACCTATCTCAAAACAAACAAAGCCCCATAGCTTTTCTATCTGCCACAGGAAGAAAGAAGTGCCACTTTTTTTTTCCTCCCAGAAGACCAAGTAGCAAGCAGTCATTGGAAGGATGGCTGCAACGACCACAAGTATTTTAGGACTAGAGGTGAAAGAATGCAAGATCATCTTATTGTGGTTACAAGTTTAAAATGTGGGATGCAACAAAATTCAGTTCCAAGAAAATACTCTCCACAAAGGGAATGCCTGATATCTAAAGGATTGCGTAGGCTGGTCTACAATGGTGAAGCAAGACCCTAGCTTTACAAAAGCATCTTGATTAGTTTGAGCAAATTCTTTTTTCTCTTTTTTACTACCACTTTCCTTTCTCCCCAAAGAGGGTCAAGGGTGCACTCTAATTAATATGTGCTCCACAGATATTTGCCATCTGGTACCTGGAAAGTTCTTGCTCATGCGATTCCGAACCCACTGTTGAAAACTTCAGAGTTCTTCCACATGGAAATCTGCAGGGCCCTTATCTTACCATCTGCGTCCAGGGATCCTTTGCAAATTCCTCCAAGGTCCCACACCGCCCCATATCTCAAAGACAGTTGTGCTTAATGAACCCACAATTTATTCTACAAAACAAGAAAATTTTTTCTAAAAAATAAGTGGCTTTTAGAAAAGCTCGTGCTGCAACAGTCAAGATCAACCTAATCAACCTTCAAAGGAACAACACTCTGCTTACAACTTAGCTGACTTTGGGGCCTATTTGTCCCTGGAACGTCAGGAAGCTCCTCAACGACCCCGGTCTTTGGTCTGCTAACGTTTATGGTCCTCTAGCGGAGCTGTCCCGATTCGCTCCCATCCTGGGCCGTGGGCTCAAACCATTTTGGAATTAAATGCAGTTTTTGCATGATGCACAGCATAGCTGCCGTGCCAAGCGTGTGTGGGTGTGCGTGTGTGAGTTGGGCTGCAGTGCCCGACTGAGGGTCGGCCGCAGAGCCCACCGAGGCATCCGCAGGCAGTGCCGCGGCACCGAGTGGACTCACCAGGCAGTGTGGCTGGCGGAAGAGCCGAGAGGGCAGCAAAAGTCGCTAAATTCTCCAGTGTGGATTCTTCTCCTCTTCCACACTTTTCCCCCCATTAAATCCTGAACTCGTCACATGATAATTAAGAATAAGATTCAGTTCCGTCGATCCAAACCGCTGCGGTGGAGATGCCCAAGGTCCACCTCAAGGCCCCGCCCACATCCGGGGCTGGTTCCTACCCTGGACCTATCCCGTAAGGCAGAGAGGATGCCGGTCTGAGTTCAGAGGCCCCTTTCCCCGCGGTCATTGGACCATTTGGCAGCCAGTACCAACCAACCGACCTTTCCTTCTTTCGGGTTCGACAAAAAGGCGGTAATGGAGGAAGCCACTGGGCCCACCTCTTAGTCCTATAGGTTAAGAGAAAAGTCAGTTTAAGTTCAGCCGCGAGTTTCCACGGTCCCATTGGGAGCACAGGTGCCACTCAGTCCAGCCGGCACCGCCCTCGTATGGCCCCGCCCCCGAGCGGCTCGCTCCGCCCCGCCGCGCGGAGGCTGCAGGCTTTGGTGCTGAATGTTGCGGCGGGGGGCGGGGCAACGCGGGAGGCGGTGCGAGGGTCTGAGGCAACGCGCGCCCGGCCGCCAGGCTGTACCTCCTCGGGCTTCGGCGGTGGCGGCGCTAGCCTCGGAGTCTCTGTGCGTCTCCAGCCGCCTCTTAGCGGCTCGGCGCCCGCTGCTAAGGTAAGCGCTGGGGCACTTCCACGCCTGGGCGGGCAAAGATCTCCGGCTTCTGACAGGGTCCCCAGGATGGGTCCCGCCGCGCAGCCTAGCAGTGTGCGGGATGGAGGCGCGGGCTGCGGGGTCTGCTCGTCGCCTTCGCTGGCTGCACCTGTGGGCCCAACCCGGCCGCGGCCCCTTCTCATCCCTGCGCGGCTGGCGGGGGCACTGCGTCTTGCCCAGCCTGCGAGGTTGGGGCTCGGCTGCGGCAGTGCGGAGGCGCCCGGCCCCCGGCTCCCTTCCTCTTGTTCCCTCTTCTCCACCTCCAGCCCTGGGCGCGGGAGTCGCGCGGTCCGAGGAGGGCGTCTTGGGGGCTTCGGGTGGCCGAGCCTGGGCGGCGCGCGAGGTCCGCTAGAGCGGCCGCAGGAAGGGCTGGAGGAGCGGTTGCTCTGCGCGCTGCCGGGAGGAGGGGGGTGCCGCCTGCTCCCGCTCAGCCGGGCACACTTTAGTTTGGGGATCCAACCCTGACTGCGGAGGGGAGGCTGCCGGAATGCTGTGTGCCAGCCTCGGGCGGGATTTCAGGTCTGGAAACAATACGGTGGTCCCTCGGCATGGTCCATCTTATTTTATCTGCCTCATGTTGATAGTCAGTGTTCTGGTATTGTTCTAGTATTGTGCTTTCTAACTCATCTCCTTGTTGAACTTAAAGGATCATTCTGTTAACCATTTTATTTTTAATTCTGGCAAAAACCAAGGAACTGCGCTAACATACAAACCGAGGAGTAGAATCTGGAACAATTTATCTATCTCATTGTGAACTTTAAATGCTTAAGTAGTTTTGAAATTCACGAAAATGTATTAAATGCAATTTACAATTGCTTTCTTTGTCAATGGTATTTGTTAGTATTATTCTCCCAGTGACACTACTGATTTTGTAATTTTTGATTGCTTTCATCAAACATTTCTAAATGTTTATCCCCCCGCCCCCAAGTCTTTGACAATAAATTTAGTATTTGATCTTGTTGCTAGATATTTTTGTAATCACCCCCCCACCACACACACACAACTGGATCTCAGCATGCACTTTAGCTCAGGTCCTGACTTGGATTTGGAGTACAGGCTGCTAATTATAAGACAATGAAGTGAGTCTGTCTTGTCAGTCCCTGGCTCAAGCCAGCAGACCCCAGCGGAAAATAATTTGGGTGGCCTGGGGTCAGAACACAATGTGGTTCCAGGAAAATTTTTTGCTTTGAAAGTAGTCAGCCTCCAGGAACAAGGCGGGTAGTATCCATGTAGGTGTTAGGTGGGGAGTGTTCTAATTTTAACCATTTTGTAGTAGAGCATGAAAATGCAAACATTTCAAGTGCAGTAAACTATGTGGGCACTCTTGCATAGTCAAGCTTCAGAGAATAAACAGTTGAAAGCCTAAACTGGCACTGTACAGTTGGTCCTAAAAATAAAGATGATCTGAGCAACTTTTAAACCAGAAACCTTTTTGGCTAGTCCATTTAATGTATAATTGTGAGTAATTTGTAATGCAGAAGGTGTCACTAGACTGGGCCAAAGAGAATTTATAGTAAGATGTTAAAAAAAAATAGGATCAGAAAGTAGTTGAACTCAATGTATTACATCATTTAATCATTGTAGTCTTATGAGGTAGGTACTGTGATTTAATAACCAAATTTTAATTTACTCATTTGATTTCAATGTTAATTAGTTGGTGGAGTCGCTTATCCCCAATTTGATTCCAAAGACTGCATTTCAAGCATTATGCTTTACCACAACAGTAAAATTACCCTTTTAGACTTGATAGACTAGGTAGAAAACAGTGTTGCAAAGCCATAAACTAAATCCAGATTCTCAGTGCAGTAACACGAGATCATTGTATAATAGACAATGTTGAATGTTGCTGAGGATGTAGAGGTGGAATCAGCAGGAAACCTTCTTCCACAAATGTATCATCTGTGTTAGGGCTGGGTATTGTCGTCCACTTCTTATTATGTGTGAACTCACTATATAGATCAGGCTAGCCTCCAACTCATAGAGATCTGCCTGCCTCTGCCTCCCAAGTGCTGGGATTAAAGGCATGTGCCCCCACACCTGGCTGTGGCCCACTTATTTATTCCCAGTGCCCACCTTTAATAACAGCCCTCCGGAGTTCTGGGCCAGTCTGGTCTACCTAGTGAGTTCCAGGACAGCTGGGACTACATATTGAGATCCTGTCTCAAATAAACAAAAAACAAAACAAAATTTAAACAAAGAATCATCCACTTAAGAGGAAAAATATTTAAACAAATGATAATATAGCATGTAAGAGAATACTATAGAATCTGGCTTTGTGGAGTTTCAAGAATAGACACCAGAGGTTGAATGCCTGTTAATCGTTTTGACTGTGACTGTAATCCCCACATCAGTTTCCTTATTTGTTTAGTAGAGAGGATAGTACTTCCAAGGGGATGGTAAATACTAAATAAAATGTATAAAGTATTGACACATGATAAGCACTGAACAAAGAGGAAAGAACACATTTCTAAGAGCAAGAAGGGTGGGTGTTCCAGAGATGGGTTATCCTTAGGGTCTTGATTTTCATGACTAGGGAGGAAGGTATTCTACACAGGGAGAACACGAGACAGAGTCTCAACATCAGTGTAGATTTTTGAGAGAAGAGTATATGTTGCTTTATATCAAAATACTTATTAACAGCAGCTGGGAGTGATAACTGCATGTAATTTGGGCAAAGTGAGTACTATCCAGTTTTGCTAGCTGGAAATTATATACTTGAATACTAAACTGATAGAGTTTTGTTTAATACTTTTCAATACATATTTTCCAAATACCAATTCAGTATTTTTTAAAATGTTCGGTTAATCAGTTAATCATTTTTACTGAAATTTTAATTCTAAGTTATAAAAGACTAATAAAACACTACTAGAAGTGTTTTCACTTAATTTATGGAATATGTTTTGACATTGTTTATATAGTCAGATTTATTTTATGTGTATGAGTATTTGCCTGCATGTATGTATGTGTGTTCCTAGAGCCTGTGGAGGCCAGAAGAGGGCACTGGATCCCTTGGAACTGGAATTATACATGGTTGTTAGTTACCAAGTCATGATTGGGAACTGAACAAGGTCCTCTGCAAGAACAGTAAGTGTCCTTAACTGCTGAGCAGCCATCTTTCCAGGCCCTATACAGGCATCTGAAAGTTACTTGCTGTCCCTTAACCTCTTTACCTAGTCTGTAGCCACAGAGTCAGTTTTGGAAACTCCTTCGTGTATATGTTGATTTTCTTTTTCTTTCTTTTTTTCACTATGTAGTCCTGTCTGGTCTGAGACTCACTATGTAGACACCAGACACCAGACTGGCCTAGAACTCATAGAATTCCTCCTGCCTCTGCCTCCCCAGTGCTGGGATTAAAGGTGTGTGCACCACCCCACCTGCCAACTGTCTTTTCCAAACACATTGGGAAGCAGCGCCAAGCTTCCAGAATTCCTGTTTAGCAGTGAGTCCATTGTTCATAATTGTATTTATGTGTAGGTAAATAGAAAGAACATGTTCTTGTGACTTAATTTTTTTAAGTTTTATTTATTTGTGTGTGTGTGTCTGTGTGTGTGTAGAGTATATTGCCTACATGTATGTAAGTGCAGTCGTTTCATGCAGTGCCTATGGCAGTCAGAAGAGGGCTTCAGATTTCCTGGAATTGGAGTTATGGGTGGTTGTTAGCCACCATGTGGGTGCTGGGAATTGAAACCAGGTCCCCCACAAGAGCAGCCAGTGCTTAATTTCTTTAAAAACTGTAATAACTTAGATTGTTTATTAAGTTGGTTTTCTATATTCTTAGGTCTGTATACTAAAAGAATAGAATATGGTTATTTATGCAAATGAGTTAAGACATTTTATGTTTTTATGTGCACCACATGTGTACAGGATCCTGAGCAGAAGAGGGCATCTGATCCCCTGGAACTGAAGTTACAGACAGTTGTAAGCTGCCATATGGGTTCTGGGAACTGAACCTGGGTCCTCTGCAAAAGCAGCAAGCCCTTTTAACCTTGCTAGTGGCACTTAATGTTTTAAATTGGGGCTGCACTTGAAACTCTGAGAAAAAGTGCCAAGTGTCCATCAATCAGGGTAGCACAGAACTATATATACATTGAATTTGTAAATATGGAACATCACCTGATGACCAGAATCAAATGACTAAGTTGAAAATATAGATATTTAGGACAGCTGATTTTTAGTCTGGGTTGTTAGTATCCTGCAGATGGACAGAAAATGTAGAGGTGAATTTACAAATGAAAATGCTGCCGGATCCCTAGAACAGACAGTTTTATGAGAACTAGGAAAGAAACAAAATCTGCTGGATTTAACTCTGACTAGTGAACAGGAACTGGGGCAGGAAATGGCTGTGGCTGAAGAACTACCTGATAATAATCATAACGTGATTAAATTTGACATTTAATGAGAGGAAGTAAAGAGAAAATGTAGCTTTTGAGTTGTAGAAACAGTAAAAGAACTGTTAGGAGTTTATAGGAAATTTGAAGATATGTAGTAGACACTGATATTACTTTATAAAACTTTAATAAAGTATTAGTAAACTTTGAGAATATGATCAGAAAAATACAGAAAGCAAAAATATATGAAAAACACTTGAAAATTATGTGAGACAAGTTTCAGTGCTCTGTAGACTGAGGTTCAGGTCCCAGCTCTGCCACTCACCATTTAGGTGACTTTGGGTTCACTGTGTAATCTTTCTTGTTTACTTTTATTCATAAAATAGAGAAGCGTATCTTCTAAGCTTTCAAGAATTAAGTGAGATAATTTTTTAAAATGAGTGAAATGCTAAAGCCCTTGACATAGTGCTTGGGTTATGAAGTTGGTAAAAAAGTGTTGCTTATAATTCTCAGATAGAGGTAGTAAAACCAGAAAATGGCAAACAAGGAATTAACTCAAGAGGAAGCTATGGGATGTTAAGTAGTTGAAGACAGCAGTAAAGAATCACTGCAGCCACATGCAGAAATGGAAACTAGACGGAGAGGGGCTCCTAATCTCAATTTGTTTTCCTGAAGAAAATAGGTCAGACTCAAAGTTTAAGTTGATAGGCCTTTTCTATTCTAAATAATAAAAGAAAAACAAGGTCATTGGAATTGAGTCTCAGCAATATGGATTTCTAGAAAAAGGACTTGTTTACCTCATCTTGTATCCTTCTTACTAATTTCTGAAATTCTTTTATTCTCTCTCTCTCTCTCTCTCTCTCTCTCTCTGTGTGTGTGTGTGTGTGTGTGTGCGTGTATGTGTGTGTAGACTAGAAGTTGAACTACATATCTTGCTCAATCACTCTCCATCTTACCTTTTGAGAGAATGAATGTCTCTCACTAGGCTTGGAGCTCCCTGATTTTGTAGATAGGCTGAGCAGTAAGCCCTTAGGATCCTCCTGTCTCTACCTTCCTGGTGCTGGGATTATAGGAATGCTGAACTGGGCTTTTTGCATGGGTTCTGGGGACTGAACTCCAGTCCTCATGCTGGCATGGAAAGCAGGAACTGAGCCATCTCCCAGCTCCTAATTCCTAAAACCTTCAATAGAGACACACTCATAATTATTTATTTTTAAAACATTTATCTTTTTAAATAAAATGTCTTTTATTTATTCTTTGACAATTTCATACATGTAAACAATGTATCTTGATCATATTTCCCTACAGCTTCCCCCTCTTACTCCCCCCAGGTACCCCTAATAGATTTCCTTCCCTCCCTTCATCCCCCCCCCCTTTTTTTTTAACCCACTGAGTCGAGTTAGTGCTGTCTGCTGGAATGTTCCCTGATCTTGTTGGCTTGGTCTTGAGCAGGTCTTTTGCAGGTTACCGTAGCTGCAGGGAGTTCATGAGTGCAGTGGCCATGTCATGTCTAGAAGACAGCACTTCACAACCCTTCTCCCCATCCTCTGACTCATACATTCTTTTGATGTTCTTGAGCCTTGGGGTGGGGGTTGACATGAGCACTGAAAAAACATTCTCAGCACTTTGACCAGTTATGAATGTCTGCATTAACTGCTGACTACAGAGACGCTTCTCTGGCTAAGATTGAGGACAGCACTAATATAAATAGCTATGAGTATTTAGAAGACAGTTTGACAATATGTCATTTAGCAAAACATCAGTAGTAAATTCTTCCCTAGGGCCCCTGATGTCCTGAGTCCTGAGCTTTTGACCAGGTTTATAGTAATAAGCATGAATTCCTTCTTGTGGAGTAGGCCTCAAATCCAGTCCAAGAGAGATTGGTTACCCATATAACCTTGGTGCCAAGCCATTAAATATGTAGTCGTAAGGAAGGCTTTAATTGCAAGTAATCCTTGGGTGATAGAAGAGGCTAATTTAGCTGCATACAGTTCCTAAGTGTTTACTCCGTAGATCGTTTTGCCTACCCTCTTTTGGGTGTTGAATACATGAACGTATTGAAAAGTCAACTTGTTTGCCAAATCTGTTTTGCTCTTCTACTCCCTGTTTTGCTGGGTGGTTCTTTTAGTATGCAAGTCAGAAATTATAGAGTATCCTAACTCTTCCTTCCCATGTCTTCCATGTCTAATTAATCACTGCATGTGAGCATTCTCTCTAGTAATTATCTTTCAACAATGCTCTGCCCAGTACCCACAATTGAAAAACAAAACAAAACAAAACAAACCCCTCTACTGACTTAGGCCCCCACCCTTCTCCAAGTTATGCTTTTTGTTTAGCCTGATAGTAGTATTTCATATACTTCCTTTCGGAATGCTATTTCTGGATTATTAACATGTTATATGGTATGATAATATGTGCACATGTCATATAAATACAGGATTTTTTTCTGTATATATCTTAAACTTCAGACAGTATTAAGTAATTATATATCTAGGCCTGGAGTTTTCTTTGGAGGGAAAATTAAACTACATTTTATTTTTAGTGGACAGAGGATTATTTAAATTTGTTTCTTTGTGACTGATCATTGGTATTTTGTGTCTCTTTGTAATGCCTGTTCAATTCATAGTGGGTGAGGCCTGGTGCCTGTCTCTAACACTAGAGCTGAGGAGGTAGGGGCAGCTGGGGCTACATGGTGAGATGCTGTGTTCTTGCCACTTTCATTCCTGACTCTGGTAATTCCACCCCCCACTCCCCCTTCTATTTGGTGTGGCTAAGTGTTTATCTGTTTTGTTGAACACCTCAGAGAACTAGCCTTTGGTTTGCTTGTTGGTTTCTGTTCTCAACTTCACTGATTTACTGATTTCTATTCTCCATTGTCTCCTTTCTACTCTTTACCTTGCATTAAAAATATATGTATTTATTTTTTTGTTTATGAGTGTTTTTCCTTCATGTGTGTAAATGTACCATGTGTGCAGTGTCCACAGAGACCAGAGGAGGGTATGGGAGCCCCTGGAACTGGATTTAGGGACAGTTGTGAGCTACCATGTGGGTGCTGGAAACTGAGCCGAGACCTCTGCAAGAGCAGCCAGTGCTCTCTCTTGTGTTGACCTGTTTCTCCAGTCCCTTTTACCTTGCATTTTATTTGCTCTTAAATTATTGGTATCTTGAGATGGGCACTTAATTAATTAATTTGCAACCTTTATTCTGGAAAATAAAGGCTTAAATTTATGAAATGCCCTCTAAATGGTGCTTTTTAAAATTTATTTTTAAAACTTTTATATGTGTATATATTGTGTGTTGAGCATATATTTTACTTCATACCCAGCGACCATCCCTTCTTTCAATCATCCCTCCTCCTATCAGACCTCTTTGCCTCCCTTAGAAAGTTTTACTCCTACTTTCACATATATATGCCAACACCTGAATTATGAATCAATATAAAATCTAGGACCCACAAATGAGAGAAAATATGATACTGTCTTTCTGAGATTAGCTTAGTTCACTTAATATGGCTCTGTCCAGTTGCATCCATTTTCCTGCAAGTGATGCAACTTTGTTTTTCATTATGGCTGAAAAAAAATCTATCATTATCAATCACATTTTCTTAACCATTCTTCTATTGTTGGACACTGAGGGTGGTTCCATAACATAGCTATTATGAATAGTGCTGTAATAAGTAGTGATGTGCAAGTGTCTCTGGGATTCATTAAGCTTGGAATCGTTTGGGTAAATACCCAGGAATTATATAGCTGGATC